AGCACATAATGCCTCAGAAACAAATCATTTTTTACTTCTTTAAGATGCTTATACATGTATAATGGTTTAAGAGAATGTTAAATGCTTGTTATCTGATTAAAGTCGCAATAAATGTGACATTATTGGTCATAAAAGTAGCAAAATGTAAACAAAATGTGGTTCAGGTTATTGGACAATGCATATTTAGTATATATTATAGCTATAAAAATTACCAAAATTAAAACAGCTTGAATTTGAAAAAAATAAAGCTGTTTGGGGCATAATGGGCCTTTAAATACAAATTTTGTAATATACATGAGCCGCGTCACGACAAAACCAACATAATGGGTTTGCGACCAGCATGGATCCAGATCAGCCTGCGCATCCGCGCAGTTTGATCAGGATCCATGCTGTTCGCTTACAAACACTATTACAAGTAGAGAGATTGATAGCGAACAGCGGATGCGAAGGCTGGTCTGGATCCATGCTGGTCGCAAACGCAATACGTTGGTTTTGTCGTGACGCGGCTCATATCATAAGACAATCAGTGCTGCGCTTGAATCATCCTAATTTTCATACCAGTTTCATCTGTGGTTTATATATAATTTATATTATATTCACTATGTACAATACATCTACGTCCTGCGATGGCAAGCACATTTTTAGTATGGGGCCTGATTTGTGTCGTGTCGTATTTTCGCTCTGCGGGGATTAAAAGCGAAGACACGATGACTTTGTTTGTGTTGTCGTGTTTTCGCCTTGTGCGCCGTCTAGCAACAGTACGAGAAAGTTGTCACTTTGTCGTATTATTGTGTTTTGTCTAGCGTCTCGTGGAGCGAAAATATGACATGGCACAAATCAGCCTCCTTAAAAATGTTGTAATATTTGACAAAGTGATCGGAAATAAAAAAAAGTAAAAGGTGCTTGTAATAAAAAAATAAAAAGAAATGTAAAGATATATAAAAGACACACACATATTTTGCAGTGAAATAAACAATCATACAGTGATCCTGTTTATGCACAGTATTACAGAAACGCTCCATTTCTGGAACCAACCGGTACTAAGCAATAAGTGAATTAAAGTTTTAACCCTCGGAAACAACGACTTGTCTCTGACGAGGCTTAATTCCAAACGGTCGGCAATCTTAAGGTTACTGGTCCGAGCCTTTAATCCACTCAGCCATGATCAAACCGCTTGTGTTTAATTTTGCTTGATTTTGATACATGTACAAGATGTATGTATAATGATTATAGATATACATACTGTTCAGCTTCCAAGTTATCATCATTTTTTTAAAAAATCCGCTTGTTTTTTTAAATTGCCAGTTGCTGTTTATTTATATAGTTAAAAGATACTCAAATTTCGACTGGAAGCAGCTTTTTAAACAATTAATTCTAAAAGAATTATTCCATATTTAGACATGCTTATTTTCATTTTTCTAAAATAAGAATAATTGCTGTGAAAATCGATACGATTACGAGAAATTTGGCTTAAATTGGATCACTACTCGCTATTTGTGTAACAACATTATTTCTCCAATATGACAGAAAATCTGTCTCCATGGTAACATGTCTCTGTTGCTGAGATTTCTGAAATAGCATTTGTCTATAATGCTGACATTTTGTATTAAGGCCGTTCGCTACAGATTTAGTATAGACATAAAGTATATGTACAGCACATGGGATATAAACAAAAAAAATAAAGGCATATTATGCCTCAGAAATGAATAAAATTTTACTTAATATAATAGTCAGTCTTCGGATAAGGACCTCTAACACAAAAGTATGAATACACAGAACGGATACGGTATTTGTGTCTAACCTACGCTAAGAAACTAAACATCTAAATAAATAGTAATTTAATACTGGGAGTTGTTGACAAGTTTATTTCCAATATATCAAGTAAAAGTCCAATTCATAGATACAAAAACGAACAATACAATATTTGAGCCGCGTCACGACAAAACCAACATAGTGCGTTTGCGACCAGCATGGATCCAGACCAGCCTGCGCATCCGCGCAGTCTGATCAGGATCCATGCTGTTCGCTTACCAACTCTATTACAAGTAGAGAAACTGATAGCGAACAGCATGGATCCTGATGCGCAGGCTGGTCTGGATCCATGCTGGTCGCACACCCATTATGTTGGTTTTGTCGAGACGCGGCTCATTTATATATTTATATTAATGGTTGTTGAAACCGAAAGTACAAAATGCAAATCTGTTGTCATTAGTCCTAGTCGGATTTGTTTAAAATTGTACAACAGCGGATATCTTTTAATTAAAAAAGTGTTGTCAGACATATTTTCAAGCAAAATTGTGCCGAAACATACTTTATTTTCCTTTGGATATCAAATATATACATTCGTTTTACATTTCACTCCCTGTTTATGTTTACATCTGGAACTCTTTCAATCCGTATTGTTTCCGATGTTATTATAGATAAAAGCCGAGAAGCCGAGGATGTTCCGATTTGGTCACATGTCACATGTGCTATTTAAAAACAAACAAAAAAACAAAAAAAACGTTAAATGAAAAAAAGTAAAGTTCCTTTTAAATTGTACATTTACATATTGCCATGTTGTCATTTTAATTATTGCCAAAAATCATCTATGCATATAATTATAGCCAAATGAGTTCTGATTCGGAAATTGTAACAGTACAATTATTAAAAAAGTAAAGTTTCAAAGAACATGAAATAATAACATTTTAAAGCTTGATATGCCTTTAAATCCTTTACGATTTACTTTTTAATTTAAAGACTGATGATGAATATGTTTCCCTTCCCTGTTTACCTGTTTATTTAAACATCATATTTTGTTATAAGTGTGTGAGTTTTTGTTTTTTGATACTTTATTTATCATTTAATAACCCGCAGAATTTGTTTTAGAATGACAAATAACGTCCATGTATCATAGATTAAAATCTCTGATGTATAATATCATTATTATCCAAGGGAGATTATCGCGATTCCATGGTGTACTTCAAAATTTGCATTTGTTACTTCCCTTAGATATAAGTAAGCCGATCCTTTTCTAATATTGTTATGTACATGAGAAGATTCCTTATCATAATACATTATATGAACTTAAAATATAACTGTAAAAATCTCTTAAGAGTTGTATGAATAATTATATTTCAGGTAAATAATTAAATGAGATAGGCGAAAAAAAATCTGCAGCGAAAATATCCTCGAACACATTCCATACCCCATGTTGTATTTATTGACATGCGAGCTTTTAAATATTTTCCTTAAAACTGTCTTATTAATGAATAAGATTACTTTTAAAGACATTACTCAAAACATTGCTTAAAAGTAAATCCTTAACCAGCGGCCAGCTATCCCTTAGATTAACTTATATTGTTCGGCAGTTGGATAGTACCCTAGCTTACCAGTGGACATTATACGCAAACCAGCCACTGGTTAAGAACTGGAAACAATATGGCCAATTTATTGATGAAAAATGTTATTCAAAAATAAGAAAATTATAACTATTTAACTTCAAACAACAACAACAATTGAATTGAAAAGGGTTTCTAAAAGCACTTTTGTAGAAATGTTACAAATTTCCATATGCTTTTCATAAAAAATGTTCAAGTCATGAAGACAATAAATATATGTTTGTAAAACAAAAAATCTAGTATCAAAAAGTGTTTTAGTGATTTTTACTGTTTTAATGGGGATGGCCAGTTAACCACAGTGACTGGTTTCGGGCATTATCCGGTGGTCATAGACTGTTGAAAGTTCACCACTGGATAACGTATTTTGTCCGTAAGATAACTTTTGAACAACAGAATTCATTCAACAGACACAATTCAGATTTGAGCCGCGTCATGACAAAACCAACGTAATGCGTTTGTGACCAGCATGGATCCAGACCAGCCTGCGCAGGCTGGTCTGGATCCATGCTGGTCGCAAACCCATTAGGCCTATGTTGGTTTTGTCATGACGCGGCTCATTTAATCCGTTGGTTATCACTAACCAATGTTTTGAACCAGCGTGTCCTGTCCTAAATTTCTTCTTGTCGCGAATAATATTTTGCAAATTTTAAAATAAGTTCAGATCTACATAATTATTCGAATCTTATTGTTATTTACAAGAAATGCAACCAATTTTTATCTGATTGTAAATAATTTCAGGGCTGGTAATAATGTGATCCTGTTTCCTGTAATTTATGAGTAATGGCCGCGCCCAATACTTAAAATGTTTTCTGATATGTTTTCGTTGTATCTATTTATCTTTTTATTTATTCGTTCGTTCATTTATTCATTCATTCATTCATTCACTCGCTCACTCACTCACTCACTCACTCACTCACTCACTCACTCACTCATTTTATTTATTTATTTATTTATTTATTTATTTATTTATTTATTTCAATATCGAATAATAAACATTTTACCATGTTTAGTGCATATATTTGCCACTCGTGCTATAGTTTTATGTTTATTCATATATTGAAAAAAATATAAAGAAAAAATATATAAATAGTTATAGTTTAAATTAATTTTGCAAAGACTATTAACATAAAATGGGCCTTATCTCGTGATAAGAAAATCTGCTGACATTGTGAGTAGACAAAGCAATCCTATTTCTTATAGATCTAGATCTATTATCATCTGATTATTTACTCTTTATAACACATGTAAAAATGTTTGTTCAAATATAATCAAACTTACAATAATAGGTTTCTAATGTCATTATTTCTATATATCGTATCTATGATTAAAATTGACTTAGTGAAGCTTTTTATGCGCTTCTTTTTCGATATATGCGAGTTATTTACCATTGCGAACCTATAGATTTGTGCTTACAAATGATAGGTTACCTTTTTTTTGAAAACGGAAGAAGTAACTTCATGCATTTGTATTTCAAATCATTTCCCCCGGCCCGTGTGTTGGTACTTTAATTAAATCTTTATTTTTATCCATGATTTACGATATTCATGCTGACGTCAAATTCTCATGTGCAATGACGTCATTTGAAATATGACGTCATATTCATTGAACGTGAATCGCGCGTTTCATTCAGATTTACAAAAATCACAAAAATGTATGGAAATAATGCTTTAAATGTGTTCCATTCTCTTCTGCTTTATGTGATCTTAGTTGTTAGTTGTAGCGGATACAAAGTTGAAATGACTATTTCTGAAGATAACAGTGAGCCGGTAGTTACGGAAATCGAAGTTGTTGATCATGATAATCCGCCATTTGAGATTGAAGATGATACTCACGGTAAGAAACTATTTATTGATAATTCATACACAAATACCGGTTCACACACCGATGGAATAAATCCGAGTGATCATTTCTTGAATCAAAATGGCGTCAAGATTTCGGGATTCCTCGGTAATGTACGTAATAAAAGGTCTCTTGATAGAAAGTATGAGGGATGTATAAGAAGTGACAAGGAATCCAAAGGGTCTCGGACAGCAAATCATGCTGTTACCGTGGAAACGGGAGAAACCATTCATTTACCTTGTCATGAATGTGGTGCGGACAGAAGTGAAATGTTCGAATCGATCCAGTGGCTGAAACTCCATGAGTATCCCAATTCTAAAAGTTTGTATCATATAAAAGAAGTTGTTGCAGATACACATGACGAAGAGAAATTAAACAGGGTTAGTTTCACGTTAGACCATACCCTCGTCATAAAAAGAGCTAGATTTTCTGATGCCGCAAGTTATTTCTGTAAGCCAGTTAATAGCAAAGACACTTTTATGAATTTTCGAATAAGCTGGAGCGAATTGATTGAATACATTACAAAGGAATCACATCTGAGATACTTCTTCCACGTGGATGTGATTGATTTAAAGCACACCGACACGATTGATGTTTCGTCCTACTCAAAAACAAAACCGTTGAAACCGGAAGTTGTTCCGTTATTAAATATAGTAGTAACGACAAGATGGCATCCATGGACTTCCTGTAGCGTTTGTAATGATGAAGGAATACGGAAGCGGATGGGGATCTGTGTGATAAAAGAGCTTGATCCAGGCGTCCATGTTCAAGATAACTATTTGGCAAATGTTCTGAATTTTGATAAAAAAGGAATTCCGTGTCAGTCACAATATTTACGTGACTATAAACGAGAACTTTGGCTTCGGAAACCAAACCAAATACAGATTGAAGCATGCAATGTCCCGTGCCCTATTTCAAAATCGAAACGTACTAAGCGTTCTTTCATGTCACGTGAGGAAGTAGTTGATAAAGAGCAACAGGCAAAAATTGATAAGGAAAACGAGAAAAAGAAAGCCAAGAAGAAGAAAGTCCGTAAAGGAGCTTATTTAATTTTAAAATGTCCCGGAATTTCATTGACCAAAACAGTCAACTGGGCACGTGGTTCAAAGCTTGTGAATATAATAAAAATACGAAAATATACAAACGACAGAATATCAATGGACATGTTTGGTAACCTGCATTTTAAGAAAACAACGTTGAATGATAATGGAATATATTCTTGCTGGCTGAAAAAGAAAATGAAATATAAATATAAAGTGGAAGTAAAGGAGGACAGAAGCGCCGAAATTAGAAGATATACACTGTATCTCTGTTTTAGTTTTATTGGTGATTTTGTTGTGTTCGTTGCTCTGACAATCGTGAAATTCCTGCAAAGGCGGGCACAGCGGAGGATACCTAAAAAGAAAGCAAAGGGGAGTGACGATAGTTCTGACGACAAATCTGACAGTGATAAGGAAACAAGTGATGCAAAGAATGATAATAACACTCGTGATAAGAAGAATGATAACGACGATGATGATGATACGAGTTCGTCAAGTTCTGACTCAGATAGTGAATAATCATTATTTCTATTATTATCATTATTATTATTATTAAAATTATAATCATCATCATCATCATTATCATCATTATCATTATTATCATTATCATTATCATTATCATTATCATTATTATTATTATTATTATTATTATTATTATTATTATTATTATTATTATTATTATATTTTTCATTTCTTTTCTTTTAATTTGATTATTACTATCATTATTTTTATTTTATTTTGTATTTGTACTTTATATACTTTTTTATTTCAATATATGATATTGTTGACAGTTCACTTTAATGTGAGAGAAATCATTAATCATATTATCGATTTTTCGTGGTTTGTAACGAAGTGAGTTCTGTTTATTTGTAGTTAAAAATAAATTACAAATGTAACTATTAAGAATTCCCAGCATTGATTGTTTTTTGTTTTTTTTTATTTTTTATTTATTTATTTCTTTTTTTTTTGAAGCAAGGACGCTGCCGCTGAAATCACGAAGTGTTATAGGCCCTATATCGGTCCGCTGAATAACGCTTTAATAACATAATATTTTAATAGCATTTAAATCTATTTTTGTTAACAAGTTTCATTGATGTTTATATAATTTGACGATGTATTACGGGTTCTTTTTTATTACACGATTTAAAATAAATAAAAAAAATTGCAAAAGGAAAAAGGTTTACAAACATTGGGTAATACTTTTCGAGTATTATGTCCTCTTTTTGATAAGTACATTTCATGTTGTAAAGTTTGTCTACTCATTTTTAGCTCGTCTGTTTCGAAAAAAAAAACTTAAAAAGTTGAGCTATTATGATCGCAACGGCGTCGTCATCGTTTTCATCACCGGCGTCGTTGTCGTCGTGCAAAAACTTTAGTGTAGCGCTAAAGTTATGCCCTTTTTTCATGGGGAGCGGTAGCCTAATGGTTAAGCTGTCTGCCTCTCAACCCAAGGATCATAAGTTCGAGCCATAAGCAGGACACGACCATGTTTTCTTCATATGCCACCAGAACTTGTTGGTTCTAGGAAGCTGACTCGAAAGTGATTATTTTTAAGTTGCAAGAATTGTTGCGCCATGGAGCTGAAATAGACATGTTTAAACCTAAACCATTTTTAAGAACTTGTGTCAAATACGAGCGTTTACATTGTATTCGGCGCTCCTGTTATACATAACCTTATCTTGGCGAGTTTATTAAAAGGATTTATGGCATTGTTTAGCGACTTTAGCCTTCATTTTCAAATTTGGGAATAATTCAAAAATGAAGTTTAGCTTAAAAATATTGGAAAGGCAGGACAGACTTCACGGAAGTACATGCGGGAACGGCTCTATACTGGTGGCAAAGACTCTTTTTAGTTTTTTTTTAATTTTTATTCCCAGCAGGCCTGTCTGAATGATATTAGTAATGTTTATGTCGAAAAAAATAGTTGGATCACGAGTACATAGCGGACTGCGACATGTCGTCTGCTTTATAGAGTATTATAATGTACATGTATGATAGCAATCAAACTAAACGATCCGCTATAAGTACATTTAACAACTCATCCAGAAAGAGGGTAATTGGAAGTAGTTAAACATCTAACAAAGACCCAAAACCACTTAGAATAACATTTTAAAAGGTTAATTATATTCATTTTTTTCACAAAGTATCGTATGTTAAATGTATCGTGATGTTTTTTCCCCTCAAGGTTGAAAAAGATCCTGTTGTGAAGGTGTTGATATAAATCGACATATTTATGTCTCCTCATAAAACGAATTGAAGCAATAAAGTTTTTACCTTCTCCTACTTAAATACCAAAACAAGGGTAGATGGTGTTATTCAATTTCTGTATCAACTAGGCAAGCCTTAAAATTATCTTTGTTTCCCCTCCTGCGACCCATGTGAGTTTGAGTTGGGTCGGTAGCTCGATAAAATATTTCTCATCCAAAATCTTTTTTTCTATCAAAATTATATGGATTTTTTAAAAAAAAATGTGAATGTTTAGCATCTATTTAAAGATTTAAAAATCAGAACCATATTTTCATTTTTATTCAAAATACATGTATATCTAAGTTTGTATATATTTACAATTTAAAAACACCAAACAAATATAAAGATGTAGTTCTCATAGTTCTCATTTTTTTTCTAGACAATAAATTTTTTTGGTTAACTGTGATTTTGTGGATAGATAGGGGGAGAGGAAACAAAGACTATTTTATTTTATGCCCTAGCACTTTTGATGATTTGACATGTTTTGTATTACAATTTTCTGGCTTTTTATACATAAATAAAAATATATATTATTACAATAAGAGAGGGCGTAAATCGTTAATTACATCGCGTGATTTAGCTACGTTAAATTGATCTACATTACAGTCCAATAAATAAAATATATAGATGTTTTTTTACACACAGCAGGTATTAACCCTCCCCCCCCCGCCCCTTGCCGCCTTTTTGAGATCCATAAATTATATTCCTAAGATAAGATCAAGCTCTCTCACATTTCTAAAATTTCTATCACTTTTAAATGAAAACTGATAAAAAAAATCTTTTACACATTGGTTTTACCCCTTCATATGTATAAAAAAATTGATAATTTAGTAAAGTGTTTATATATTGATTTTTTTACAAATTTTGCTAACTATATTTTATGGAAAATTTACCCCAAAAATGACTGCCACTTTTGGCAAGGGAGATAAATATTGTCAAAATCAGGGACTAGGTTTCTACATGTGAGAAAGCTATCAAGCTAGCTTACGAAATGTAGCTTGTTTAACTTAGTTGCTCTTTTGTGCCTGAAATATCGTACAGAGGGGTTCCTGACATCTTCCTCTATCAGTAAAACTGGACGACGCAATATGACCTTAGCAATACTGTGTTGGTATGACGTAAACCCCACCCCCTCTCCCACCCCCAGGCTAGAAACGTACACAATTTCCTGTTTTTCTCCTAATATCTAAACAACAATATGCTTTTTGGTTAAAGAAAATATCATATTCTGAGGAGAATGTCGAAATTTGCTGTTTTATTTTATGTGTATGCATGGTTTAGCTAGAACATATTCGTTTGTCTAATAAAATATATTTTCTGTAAGATACCTGTGACAGCATGAATATTGTAACACAACAGTAACAGATTTGTATGCTAAAATTAAATCAAATTAGGCTGTTGTCACTGCTTTCACTTTAGAACTGACAAAGATTTAAAATATCCTTATTTGGGATTCAATTTCTTAATATATGTTTGAATTCTTGCAGAGCAAAAACAAACAAACAAAAATAAAAAAAACAAACAAACAAAAAAAAAACAAATAAATAAAAGCAAATAAAGCAACATGTCATTTAAACAGAGAAAGCTGTTCAATCATGATAATATATGTTACGGGAATAATATTATGTGAGTGAACGTCATCCGGCATTTTCTTTGTTAATCGTAATTCTGTCTCACAAGAAAGATTTTCTTTTCTGCCCGACAACAGGAAATTCGCCGTATATTGACGTTTCATCGTGTATCGTGTCTTACGTTTTTTAGGCATGGATTACTTATTCATTAAATCACAAAAATATTCATAATGTATATCTCATTTGTATCATAGTTCGGAGACCTTTCTGTTGAAAATGTTAAATCGTATACATATACATGCACAGTGCGTTAACTGGAGTGCAGGATTAGTTACCCGCACTCTAGAGCATGCCCATTGATTGGTTCATTTTGTCCGGGATTTACATATTGTGACGACAGAGAAAGGGATAGCGATGGAAATGTCATATTCAGATGCTCGTTCATTGGTTACTTTTTTGTGGGGTTTCATATTGTGGTATCAGGGAACGGGTTTTTATGTTTGACTATGATACAAAAGAGAAAGAACATCAAAACACTCGGCAATCTGATTTATACTCGGGGGCTACGCCCTCTCGTACAAATCAGATAGCCTCGTGTTTCGATGCTCTTTCTATTACTTATATAATGTTGTTGGCAACAGTTACCAGGTTACACTGAATGTAAATGAAGTGTGTCTGCCTATATTTTTTTTTATTAATTGCTTTTATATAACGTAGATGGGACTTTTTTATGGGAGCGAAGTTTTGAACATAAGTGTATCATTTTAAGTTTCTGTGCGTCTTCATGACGCAGGTAACCGACATAACGACTATGACCGTTATGTTTCAGGTTTTTAATTGCAGTAATACAAGTTTGTCTCCAGGGTACATGCTAAAACGTATCTGCTTAATATACATTGCCAGTTACAACATTCTTCAACCAAGCAATAACAAAGTAAAAGTTGGTAACACTTTGAAACTAAGAAACCATTTCAATTGTAAAACAAAGAAAAAGCAGCTAAGTAATGAGGTGAACATATGTTTGACATAAAGGTATTTAACATTATTTGAAAACACGAATACCAAATGTCATATCTTAGAAAGAACTTGTAATGTAAGTTTTAATGAACCATGCATGGATATATCTAGATATAATGATAGGAAGGAAGCAGTGACAAGTCTATTCGTTGGGCGCATGTCTTGTCAGAATTGGATTTTTTTTTCAAAATCAATTATCTAATTATAGATCTAGATGTAATGGCCTTTGATATTAAGCTTCAATAATACAATGATGAATTTATTGTATCGCAAAAAAAATATAGGAAGCCTAAAAAAATATGTTTCTTTTATACTAGATAGGCATATACGCTCTTTGTCGTTATGAAGTTAGAATAAAACTAGACCTTGTAGATACAGTCATGTTTAGAACAATGGGTAATTATGTCAATAGAACCTACTTTGAACAGTGTCCGACTTAAAATCGAAATTAAACTTTTGACTGTCCGACTTAACATCTAATTTGATTCCTACGCCGGGTGGGGAAAGGTAAAAGAAATACGAAGCCAAATAATTAAACAAGTTTAGAACACAAAGTAAACATGAATATTTGTATAGTTGATATATATTTACATACACATTATTTAATTTTTAATACTTTAAACCACTGAAATAGGAAGACCAGTCTTACTTTTCTGGAATCCAGAATTTCAAATTTTGCTCCAACAATAGAGCTATTTATAGTAACAATATTCAGAAAAACAGGAAGTAAGCCACCCTAACAAGAAAGACAACTATGCACGGTTTAAATGTTAAGGTTGGTTTCACTGCACTTATTGACATGTTAGAAACGTTTTTACAACATTAAATGAACAGCTAAAAATGTCCGACTTTCGATCGTGTCCGACTTACGATCACTTTACCCTATATCTTAACACAAATTTGGCACTGCATTAATATCGATAAAAAACTGAAATCTTTGGGAACTAACTGAACATTTAGTGTCCGCCAAATTCAATCAAGGTGAAAAAACTTTGTTACAAGCAGTGTTTCAAGAATATTATTTGGAATGTATCGATAATCCACCAACTTATATGTAAGTGTTCGATGACATATCGAAAACTAAAACATCAAAGACAGAAGAACAAGCATTTCTTTGCGTTCTCGTTTAATATATTTTGTTATATAACACAGAGCATGTACATAAATATTCATGCAAAGAACATATACGTTTACAAAAAATAATCAAAACATTCAAGATTTTTTAGACATGTATATACGTTTCACTTATGAGAAAAAAGCAATTTCAAATAACAGACATACTTTAATACAAATGTTCTTCATATATAGGCATAGTGTACGTAGTAAATTCATGGTGAAGTTTTCTTTCTTTATTTTTTTCCAAACCATCTCCTTACTGGTGGGATACTTGGTATTCTTACTGGAGGTATTCTTACGGGAGGTACTCTAACTGGGGGGACCCATCTTCTCACTGGGGGGATTCTGACTGGGGGGATTGGGGGGATTCGAATTCCAAATACTTTCTTTTCATGTTGATTGTTGTTGCTATTAACTTCATTGCTGAAATATGGGAGATATTGTAAGATATTGTTTCAAAGAAAACGTAATAAACAAACAAATAAATAAATAATTATAATGATTTGTCAATTATTACCGAATTTATATTCAACTATAGACTAAATCATTTGTCGAAAGTATCTGTTTTACTTTAAAATACTGGTTTGTTAGTTTATATATAATTTATTTAATTCCGAATGTGTAGAAAGCTATAAGCTCGAATTCGATCCTGGAACCAACTAGTATACTTAGCAATGCGTGTCACAAAGTTTAAGGAAACAACGCTGTGCCACTGGTGGGGTTTGAACACACGCATCGTACGATGATTAGATTTCTTGTCCGACACAGAAACCACCCGGTCATGCCACCACGATTGTTTGTTTGTATTGATTGTGTTGGTAGTTTACCCTTCGGATCAATGGAGTGAGACACTTTGATTTCACCAAAGCACAGTATAACCACCGCATCGTCCCTGAGTATGTTTCCTTCACTTTCGCAAGGAACTGATAACTCCCGTACATGCTAGAGCAGATGTACAGTGTTCAGATGTACAGAATTCATTATCAATCGTTAGTGACCTGCACCGTTCGGTTTGCTTTATTCATTGACCAACGCTGTACATACCTATAATGAGCTTATCGGATGGTAAATACTGTTGTAAATAACAAATTATTTTCTTAACTCACTTGGCAATCTCTTGCTTCCTTGCTGCTAAAGCCATTCTCTGTAATAGACGGGATAAAGTCATTATAATTTTACATTGATAAGGAACCTTTTCAATATTGCACATTTAACTTTTTCTTTCAATGCCCATCATACCCAAGAATTTATATTTAACTCATAAGCTTTTAGATATTTGAGGTCATGTTTCAGTTTCGAAAAAGATTCCCTTAATCATATTTTGATTCTGTTGCTATCTGCCATGGTTGTTATAACCGTTATAGTGACTAGTATTTTGTATGGAAATTAAAATTACTACTTTGTTTACATTCTACTACTTTCATGACAAAAATATGAAATAGCATATTCAGCGATATTTTCGTCGTACATGCTCTAAAACCATTAGGTATTTCAACATTTACCAAAACATTATAAATTTTATTTTTCCACTAACGATGAAAGAATTTATTTATTTCTGTGGTATTATGACCCTTTAAAGCTTCACCTTACAATACGCATAAGATCACATTTACGGAAGCAATTACACAGGAAATAGTGCCGATGTTTGATGAAATGTTGAATGAAAGACATAGCTAAAAAGGCAAAATTTACTAGAGAAGATATGTCATGATTAATAAATTTGAATTGTGAAATAATTTGAATGTTAGCAAATGATTATTTTTGACAGGAATGTTTTGTCTATTTACGGTTTAAGGCCGTCATGACAGTTTACAAATAGTAGCTAGCGGCAGAACCGCTCATTTACGTCACAGATATTTTTCTCTCGGATAGTTTGATAGTTTCACACAGTTGATATCAGTTTTATTGTTGTTGTTGCTATTGTTGTTTGGAACGTTAAGAGATCTATATACAATATATAGTAGTCTTGGGTCATTAATCTACTGAAAATTCTTTGTAATATATACGTGAAACATTGCATTAAGTATATCATACATGGTTTGTAATCCATTATTAGAACATTATTATACACGTATTTGCCCAATTTTTTACTATTAAAATATCTGCATTTTTGCCGCTTATTTTGTCTTAAACAAAAAAATGCTATCAATTTTTCTGCGAATTTCGTCTCTTTTGGTACCCTATTCGACATAGAGGAAGAAAGCATATAATAATATGATTAAGTAATATTTACCTTTTTAACAGACAGACCACCGTCCATGCAAGCGTCCATGCATCCCTCCTCATCCGACGATGACTCACCACAGACCATCTCGCAACATTCTCCTGCACAATTGTCATCAAGAAAACAGTCCAGACTATCACAGTCATCTAGATCTCGTTTTCTCTCAATCTGTTTAAAGAAATTAAAGGTGTATTCATTCTTTTTTTAAGGGCATGATTAAGGTTATCGGACAGCTGTTTAATTACTTGAGTTTTGTCGTTTTTTTATCACTTTTTATCTTTTTTTTATCAATTTGTTGCCTTTTCAAAACCCCTATTTGCAACACTATCTCAGTTTACTGCCACATATTCAATGTGTGTGATACTGACCTGATGGTATCACAGACGCCATTTTTGTAATTTTAAAGTGTTAAATAAGTGGTGCAAATCAAATTTATGATATTTACAAATGTGTATAATATGATACAATAAAATGTTCATCCTTTAGTAAAAATATTTTGATCACAGAAATTAATTGAAATCTACGAAATTCTTACTGTATATGATAAATTTGAATAAATGAAAGATTAAACCATGTATGTTAAGCTGCGTTCCCTAAAACAGGGTAAGTAAAGTTGGTATTTTCTTTAAAAACTGACTTTTCCAATGACACTTTATATTCATATTGTGACCACCTATAATATGTAGAATTTCAAGCCTAACATATCTTCTTTATGTGAAGTCAAAACATGTTTATTTTATATTATCAAAGAGACTGTGTATATATAAAATTATCAAGATGTTCTTATATCAAATCTGAGCATAGTATATCTTTAGAAGAATTTTGATACCTGCTGAATTTCATTTTCAAGTTCTTGCAGCAGCCTTTTCTCTTGCAAATTCAGCTCATCATTTGCTTGTACTGCAATAAACAGTAAGTAAATAGAAAATCAGTTAAAAACATAAACAGAAAATGAACAGAAAATCATTTTAAAATAAACAGAAAATGAACAAAAAATCATTAAAAAATAAACAAAATGAACAGAAAATCATTTAAAAATAAACAAGTTTTTATTACATGAGAACAGTTATTTTGCTAAAATGACATGTTGGTACTTATAAGTGACAACTTTATTTACAATTGGTTTAAATTTTGTTTTCGTAACTTGTTTATCGAAACAAAAATAAACAAGCTATATAAAATCATCCCTACTGACCGCTTGATATTCTTAAAAGTAATCGCCTTTAAACTTGCAACCTCATGTCGTCATTTACATAATTATTAACGATAAATATACAGAAAAAAATAGTCTACAGGGTGTTTCATAATATGTGATACACTTTCGAATGATTGTATTACGTAATAACTATTTTGTAGGAAAACACTTTTTTTAAAGTCATGGCCTACTATTGTACTTCACGTGGAGTACTGCAAAAATAAACTGAAAAATCAATAAATGTACTCGAATTCTTATTTCATCTTTTTCAGATATGATTTGATATACAAATTTATTTATCATAAGAAGAGAGCATGATGCCCCATGAACGCTCACCAGAGCGATTTTTAAATGAATAAATTGATAAATTTGTAAATAAATAAATACCATTTTGGCTCCATTTGGCAACTGCCGCAGCGACGACGCATATCAGTAACCACTTCAACATCATCGAATCCTGTTAGACAAAACGCTGATGGATTGGATTTTAAAGATCAGCTTTTATACACACGTTTTAGTCACCCAGAGTCACCAAAAGATTCCGTCTGTGACTTAATTTGTTTACAAAGCACCGCATATTTTATAGGCGATCCGCAAAATATCGTCATTAACCTTGCTGTTCCCGCTGGCACCTTGATTTTCAGTAAGATACGGCTTGTTTTCACGGGTGTTTTGTTTATTTATGTGATCTTATTATCTTATTTGTGCAGAATTAGCATTTTACGGGTAGCTTCAGATAAGATCTGAGTGATAATTTCTGCAAAAGGTCAAATGTAGATATAAACAAAAATTTACATACGAAGTAAAACAACAAATCTTTGCGGTTATAGACACAATAATTTTGAATATTACTGTAATTTTTACGCTGAAAAACGTGTGCTAAAACCTTTTGTCACCATTTCACAATGCTAGAAAACAAAAATCGTGATACAGATGTGTATGATTTGCCTTTATGAATTTTATATGAAATTTTATTTAAGGTCTATTTGTTCATGTAAAACAATCGGAACATTTTGCCACACTTTAATACTCTTTCTTAATGTTTATTACATTTTCCTCAGTATTTCAGGCGTTGTTAGACTAGTTGCATACTAAATCACATCTAAGCACATTTGGAAGGGGTCGCATGCGTCATAGGCTAGTGTTGAAATCTTGATCAGTACCAATGACTTAATGCAGCGACATTTATTCTTTTATGTCAAGTGTTGCTTCAGGTGCGCGTTTTGTGCTTCAGATGTGTGTTTTGTGCTTCAGATGAGTGTTTTGTGCTTCAGATGCACGTTTTGTGCTTCAGATGCGTGTTGTCTTCCTCAAGTGAAAACTTGTCCTTTAAGTGCGCGCTTGGTGCTGAAAGTGTGCGTTTTGTTATATATGGTCGAATTTGTCTAAAACGCAAACGTATCTGTTTCATATAGTTTGCGTAAAAAGATCTGTTATTTGACAAACAGGGTTGGGCTAGGGATATTCCCATGTCTTCGCTAAAAGTATCCAAAATATTATCTCGTAATCATCCATAAAACTTCATATTCTAAACAAGACTGTATTTGTTTTGTTTGAATTTAAGCCACAACGATGAAGTAAAGGTCATATGGCGACTTTTCAGATTTACTATTGAACGAAGACCTTAGATGCACTTGCATGCATTCAGGCATGAGTGGGCTCCTTAGTAGAACCAGCACCGTACTGTAGCTCCCTCGCATGAACAATATATATATATACATGTACAAGTTATTGAAAAATGATTGAAATCAGGAAAGCCTGTCTCCCAGTTATATAAATCTTTGATTCAGAGGATACAAATAAAACTTTGAAGTTATTATATTACTTAAATATATGCAGTTTATAAATAGTATTGTTATCGTGAATTTGTATTACCGACTGCCAAGTGTCCTGACCTTTGACCTCCTTCTCGATCTTGGATGAGGACCTTTGAAACTTCATTAATCATTTTAATGCCTAAAACAGTAAAAATATATAGAGGATATTGAATGAGTGTAAGTTCAATACTGAATTTATTGCACGAGTTGAATGAATTATATTATGCGAGCCTCTGGCGAGCATAATATTATTTTATTCAACGAGTGCAATACATTCAGTAATGAACTTACACGAATTTAATATTCTATTTATCACATACCCAAAATAAAGACCGTTTAAAGTGAAAAAAGAGTCATTTTTCATTGACGCGCCTATAGTATAACGCTAACATTTAGCGCGTCTTTACACTATGTTTGTAGAACGCTAATGACGTCACGTCAAAATATATGCACGGCCGTGCAATACCATTTTTACGGAGTCGCAAAATCGGCACGGGTGTGTGATAAAATTCATTACATACATGTACTTTCGAAAAATATGATGTTTAGGTTTGGAATTCTATTTTTGGTAAGGTATAAGTTTTGTCTAAGTCTGCTCAGAAGTATTAGCATATATGATCATTAGCAACGCCGGTGAACGGCATCGTCTCTTACGAAATGTAAGCTACATGCCTACACACGAGTCAAAATATTTCTTGAGAATATTCTTGGTCATTGATTTGAATTGTAAGTGCCGTTTGCAGTGTATAAATTACTTTCTTTATTCACCTTACAATATTTACTTTTAAATACATTTTCTAATGAGTCGGGCTAAAAATTATGACAACATTAGCATCAGCCCTCCCAAGTCAAGTTCTGATGTGGGGATAAACAATATTTAAAACCGCCGGCTTATTTCGATAAAAATCTTCGAAAGTATCCATGCGTTAGTTGTTTTAATGACATTTTTATCTTTCTATCTTATTTACTTATATATTAATAGCCTATAACGCCCAAGAAATTATTATATTTTTGTGTGTTTATTTCTCATTTTTATTTATTTATTTATTTATGTATTTATTTATTTTTGGTTATTCATTTATGGTTTCCAACAACAAGTTACTCATCGACTAATTACCTGAACCATATCTGATTCTTTTTCTGTTGCTTTTTTCCATAAGTGCATTATATTGTTTAGTTTACATTTTTTCTGCTTTTGTGATATACTTTTTACATTTAACGCTATTTTATTCAGGAAACAGGCATCTAACATGTTCTAAAACTATTATCTTAATGTTACAAAACTCATGTTTGACCTTTCTAAGCAAGTAAATATGAGCCGTGTCACGACAAAACCAACATAATGGGTTTGCGACCAGCATGGATCCAGAGCAGCCTGCGCATCCGCGCAGTCTGATCAGGATCCATGCTGTTCGCTTACAGACCCTATAACAAATAAGAAACTTATAGCGAACAGCATGGATCCTTGATCAGACTGCGCGGATGCGCAGGCTGGTCTGGATCCATGCTGGTCGCAAACCCATTTCGTTGGTTTTGTCGTGACACGGCTCATATTTATTTATTTCTGTGACATTATGTGCAAGTATTTATTATAATTGACAAAATAAGAAACCACTGAACAGTGAAATAACTAAATCTTTAAAAATGTATTTACATTTATTGACAATATTGAACAATAGTATGAATGTTTATAAAAAGAAACATCAAAGGAACATATTGGTCATTAAAGTCTTTACCACATTCAATAATGGTTGTCAATATATTCCACCAAATTTTAAATTTGCAGTCCAGTTCTGTTTTATATAGTTCTGCCTATTTTGTTTCGTAAAGAGAACACAAAATATTTTACTTGAAAACCATATGAGCTGCGTCATGACAAAACCAACATAGTGCGTTTGCGACCAGCATGGATCCAGACCAGTCTGCGCATCTGCGCAGTCTGATCAGGATCCATGCTGTTCGCTTACAAACCCTATGACAAGTAGAAAAGCTGATAGCGAACAGCATGGATCCTGATCAGACTGCGCGGATGCGCAGGCTGGTCTGGATCCATGCTGGTTGCAAACCCATTATATTGGTTTTGTCATGACGCGGCTCATATGCTTTTTTCCATTTGATGTCACTGACGTTTCTCATAATTTCTCTGATAACCGCCGCTGAACCTTTTTAACTTTGTCCGAGAGCACACACGACAACCAAAATAACATCAAAACACTTCAAAATGACGCTCGACAATCTGTGCTGACTGACGGCAATACAACGAAATAAAGTCGCAATGTTTTGTTTGTTGTTCGAATTTGAAAAGGTCGAATATTCCAACACAAAAACAAGAAGAAAAAGAGCTGTCAAGCAAAAGTGACGAATGCCCCTGAAAATGTTTCTTTGGTATTGCAGAAACTTTAGTTTGAAACTAAAAGAGAATTAAAAGTAACTAATTGCTTAGTATTGTTCTGTGAAATGAAGTGCTATTCATAGCCGACTAACTACCGTGATCTTGAGGAAGGGAATAGTTCTTGGACGCGATACGTCATCTTGATGAGGTAGAGATATATGCCAAATTATTATAAAATCATTTAATACATTACAATATATGGTCTACCTTCAAACTCTTCTTGTGAGCATTAGTACCTTTAAACTGTAAGCGTGACATTGACCTTGGAGGTAGGAACATGGGTCTAAGATGAGACATGTCATCTTGATATAGTAGACATATATGCTACGTTACTTAAAATTATTCCGTACATGACCAAGTTACAGACCAGACACAAATGTGTGTACCTTTAAACTGAATATGTGAAACCTTCACACTGTAAGTGTGACCTTGACCTTTGACATACGGGCATGGATTTTAAACTTATTTCAATATCCTCCATTGAATGACAAAACTACAGTACGGACACAAATGTGTGCATATAAATCTTTAATTGTGAGAATGTGAAACACGTCACTACGTCCAAGGTCAAGATCACACTTATAGTTTGAAGGTACTCATTTTCACAAGAAAACAAGAAGAGTTCGAAGGTACACATCCGTGTTCGGATTGTAACTAGGCTTTTAAACAAACTTGGCACAAATGTCTTCACCATCATAATGAAAAGGTTTAGGGAAATTGTGTCAGTAGCTGGTGAAAAGGGAAATATTGATAAGAATTATTGTGTATGTATCTTGTATGCCCAGTCATCGGCCACATCATATTATGATAGAATATGCCTGTCTCAATTTCAAAAATCTGATACTGTTTATTCACAGGCGCTAGTCACATAATCAAATATTTTACATAATCGGTCTATATATGTATATAAAGATATAAGGCACCCGACGAAACAAAAACATCATGCGGAACAAACAAGAACACTGCTGCAAGAAACGACCAGATCACGGTTATCTCTTTCTGGTCGCCATCTGAAAGGATCAATCCAAGCGTTAAAGCTTTTTATTTCATTAAAATTCTACAAATAGCAAAGAAATGAGTAAAAGTTTCAGAAAATGCCAATATTTTCAATCCATGTCGTTTTCGACGTCCAATCTATTCATGTATACAAACACGATTTCTGGTCGATTTCTACGAAATAAGTAGAAAACATCTAAAATTTTCTCATAAAATTCATACACAAACTCTTTTTCTATCAATCTGCGAAGTCTAAATTGAACTAGAGCCCTCTTTGTACGCAAATATTTAAAAAATATTGGTTGTAGAAGCGGAGGTCAAGTAAAGTGCGCCATT